ATGCTTTAATAGTCAGAAACTTTGTTAAGCATGATCAGCCTCTTATGAATTTGTGCTGGTTGTTCTACATACCTGGAGATACCTGGAGAGGGTTTCAAGGGTCAACGCCCCCACAGCCCATTCTGTGACCAGGCCTCACGATGAGCTCAGCTTTCTCAGATAAGCTGTGAGCAGTAAATTTGGGCCTAGATATGAGAGAATGAGTCTGTGCTGCAAGTGTGCACTATATATAGAAAAAAATCCTGCAGCACGCAGTGCATAATGGGAAAAAAAACTACGACCATGTTTTTGGTTTAAAACAACAATTTTGCTGTGTCTTTCCGAGTGGTTTTTATGGTCGAGTTCTCAGTTTCTTGGTCTCATTTGATAGAATGGAAGATATGTTACAGAAACAGAGATGATTCTGATTGGTTTCAGGACAGCAAGTAGCTTGAAATTGAGCTCAAAGTAGCATAAATGTTTGATTTGTGCCGATATTCTACAGTACATAAATGATGTCACTCGTTTAATGTGTGTCCATCTGGCCAGTCTAATACACATTTAGCTATGTGCTGACAATATTTATACAATTATTTCAATAATACAGTTGTCTGTATAACAGTAAATCTTCTATTTCTTGTGTGAATAAAAATTCAATATGCAAAGCAAACGTAATATAAGACAGGCCTGGGGATGTAACTAATGAACAGAGGAAATGTTTATTTAGCGTCGGGAATGCCTACGTTGTTTATTTTGGACCCTATTTTTAAATTGATAATTTTTTAATTTTGTGTGAGATTGGCCAAATAACCGATTTCTGATGATTTTATTGGGTAGTTGAAACTGGTAAATGAGCAGTTTCTTGTACTTAATTGATTGATTCAGTTTTGTAAGGTATAACAGGTAGAGCTTTGTTTATGAACCTAGAGTTATATGAAGCAATAATAGATAAATACGAGAAAGACACACATTTGATGCACATATTTTCTTCACTATAAAAACAACAAAAAAATTTACTAGGGTAAATAATAAGCGAGAAAAAAGAAGTAGGTTACACTTTTCCTGAGCAAAAATAGTAAGCTCCAGTTTTACAGTGGACCTCCAGTTTTCGTACGGTCTGTATAACATATAATTCGGTTTTAGAACACTTTTTTGGGCTAAAATTTTGGTCCAGTTTTCATACCCCAATCCAGAAATCATACTTATCATACACGCCTGCCTTCCCGGGAAGGCCGTCAATCTGGATCTGTCACTGGTTGAGTGAGCATTCATCCAAAACATTTCACAATTTTTATGCTTGTTTATTGATTGCAACTGCGAAATAAGCCACCATGGGCCCAAAGAAAGCTCCTAGTGCCAACCCTATGGTAAAGAAGGTGAGAAACACAATAGAATTCAAGGAGGAGATTGTATAAAAATACGAAAGAGACTCCAGAAACAGAGCTCTCTAAGGACTTCAGATATCAAAGCCCAGAGAGGGGTTTGATACCTGAAGTCCTTATGGAGGAGGATTCCCCTTCCAAACAATAACCGTAACTCCCTCCCCCCTCCTCGCCTTCTTCAATACGCCGACAAGTCTTCAATAAAGGTTTGTTGTAAAAGTCAACTAAAATGCCGGGAACAATGGGCTAGTAACCCCTTTTCCTGTAAAGACTACTAAAAAGAATAATAAGAAGAAAATTGTCAAAGTAGGAAGTCTGAATGTGTGTGGATGTTGTGCAGATGATAAGAAAGAGATGATTGTGGATGTTATGAATGAGAAGAAGCTGGATGTCCTGGCTTTAAGTGAAACAAAGCTGAAGTGGGTGGGAGAGTTTCAGTGGAGAGGAATAAATGGGATTAGGTCAGGGGTTTCTAATAGAGTTAGAGCTAAAGAAGGAGTAGCAATAATGTTGAAGAATAAGCTATGGCAGGAAAAGAGGGACTATAAATGTATTAATTCAAGGATTATGTGGAGTAAAATAAAGATTGGATGTGAAAAGTGGGTTATAATAAGAGTGTATGCACCTGGAGAAGAGAGAAGTGTAGAGGAGAGAGAGAGATTTTGGGAAATGTTGAGTGAATGCGTGGGGAGTTTTGAATCAAGTGTGAGAGTAATGGTGGTTGGGGAATTCAATGCTAAAGTGGGTAAAAATGTTATGGAGGGAGTAGTAGGTAAATTTGGGGTGCCAGGGGTAAATGTAAATGGGGAGCCTTTAATTGAGCTATGTGTAGAAAGAGATTTGGTAATAAGTATTTTATGAAAAAGAGAATAAATAAATATACAAGGTATGATGTAGCACGTAATGAAAGTAGTTTATTAGATTATGTATTGGTGGATAAAAGGTTGATGGGTAGGCTCCAGGATGCACATGTTTATAGAGGGGCAACTGATATATCGGATCATTATTTAGTTGTAGCTACAGTTAGAGTAAGAGGTAGATGGGAAAAGAGGAAGGTGGCAACAACAAGTAAGAGGGAGGTGAAAGTGTATAAACTAAGGGAGGAGGAAGTTCGGGTGAGATATAAGCGACTATTGGCAGAAAGGTGGGCTAGTGCAAAGATGAGTAGTGGGGGGGTTGAAGAGGGTTAGAATAGTTTTAAAAATGCAGTATTAGAATGTGGGGCAGAAGTTTGTGGTTATAGGAGGGTGGGGGCAGGAGGAAAGAGGAGTGATTGGTGGAATGATGAAGTAAAGGGTGTGATAAAAGAGAAAAAGATAGCTTAAAGAGAGGTTTTTACAAAGCAGAAGTGTTATAAGAAGAGCAGAGTATATGGAGAGTAAAAGAAAGGTAAAGAGAGTGGTGAGAGAGTGCAAAAGGAGAGCAGATGATAGAGTGGGAGAGGCACTGTCAAGAAATTTTAATGAAAATAAGAAAAAATTTTGGAGTGAGTTAAACAAGTTAAGAAAGCCTGGGGAAAGTATGGATTTGTCAGTTAAAAACAGTAGGGGAGTTAGTAGATGGGGAGATGGAGGTATTAGGTAGATGGCGAGAATATTTTGAGGAACTTTTAAATGTTAAGGAAGAAACAGAGGCAGTAATTTCATGCACTGGTCAGGGAGGTATACCATCTTTTAGGAGTGAAGAAGAGCAGAATGTAAGTGTGGGGGAGGTACATGAGGCATTATGTAAAATGAAAGGGGGTAAAGCAGCTGGAACTGATGGGATCATGACAGAAATGTTAAAAGCAGGGGGGGATATAGTGTTGGAGTGGTTGGTATTTTTGTTTAATATATATGAAAGAGGGGAAGGTACCTAGGGATTGGCGGAGAGCATGTATAGTCCCTTTATATAAAGGGAAAGGGGACAAAAGAGACTGTAAAAATTATAGAGGAATAAGTTTACTGAGTATACCAGGAAAAGTGTACGGTAGGGTTATAATTGAAAGAATTAGAGGTAAGACAGAATGTAGGATTGCAGATGAGCAAGGAGGTTTCAGAGTGGATAGGGGATGTGTAGATCAAGTGTTTACATTGAAGCATATATGTGAACAGTATTTAGATAAAGGTAGGGAAGTTTTTATTGCATTTATGGATTTAGAAAAGGCATATGATAGAGTGGATAGAGGAGCAATGTGGCAGATGTTGCAAGTATATGGAATAGGTGGTAAGTTATTAAATGCTGTAAAGAGTTTTATGAGGATAGTGAGGCTCAGGTTAGGGTGTGTAGAAGAGAGGGAGACTACTCACCGGTAAAAGTAGGTCTTAGACAGGGATGTGTAATGTCACCATGGTTGTTTAATATATTTATAGATGGGGTTGTAAAGGAAGTGAATGTTTCCAGATACTTGGGAGTTGACGTGTCGGCGGATGGATTTATGAAGGATGAGGTTAATCATAGAATTGATGAGGGAAAAAAGGTGAGTGGTGCGTTGAGGTATATGTGGAGTCAAAAAACGTTATCTATGGAGGCAAAGAAGGGAATGTATGAAAGTATAGTAGTACCAACACTCTTATATGGGTGTGAAGCTTGGGTGGTAAATGCAGCAGCGAGGAGACAGTTGGAGGCAGTGGAGATGTCCTGTTTAAGGGCAATGTGTGGTGTAAATATTATGCAGAAAATTCGGAGTGTGGAAATTAGGAAAAGGTGTGGAGTTAATAAAAGTATTAGTCAAAGGGCAGAAGAGGGGTTGTTGAGGTGATTTGGTCATTTAGAGAGAATGGATCAAAGTAGAATGACATGGAAAGCACATAAATCTATAGGGGAAGGAAGGCGGGGTAGGAGTCGTCCTCGAAAGGGTTGGAGAGAGGGGGTAAAGGAGGTTTTGTGGGCAAGGGGCTTGGACTTCCAGCAAGCGTGCGTGAGCGTGTTAGATAGGAGTGAATGGAGGCAAATGGTACTTGGGACCTGACGAGCTGTTGGAGTGTGAGCAGGGTAATATTTAGTGAAGGGATTCAGGGAAACCAGTTATTTTATACAGTCGGACTTGAGTCCTGGAAATGGGAAGTACAATGCCTGCACTTTAAAGGAGGGGTTTGGGATATTGGCAGTTTGGAGGGATATGTTGTGTATCTTTATATGTGTATGCTTCTAAACTGTTGTATTCTGAGCACCTCTGCAAAAACAGTGATAATGTGCGAGTGTGGTGAAAGTGTTGAATGATGATGAAAGTATTTTCTTTTTGGGGATTTTCTTTCTTTTTTTGGTCACCCTGCCTCGGTGGGAGACGGCCGACTTGTTGAGAAAAAAAAAAAAAAAAATTATATATATTTCTCATTGTTTTCTGAAAGTAAAACTATAGTTATTCTTTAAAAAATGTATTTTTTGTTAATATTTTTGGGTGTCTGGAACGGATTAACTGTATTTACATTGTTTCTCATGGGAAACATTAATTCGGTTTTCGTATGTTTCTGATTTAGAACGACCTTCTGGAACGGATTAAGTACGAAAACCGGAGTGCCACTGTATATGAAAACTTCTTTTACAAAAAGCAGCTACACAAATGACTGTTGTTCATAATAAAAAAAAAAAGTCCGAAAAAGTGTCACAAGCTTCATTTATGCTTGTTTTAAATTTAAGAAAGTGCTTAATTACACTTACCTATTATGTTCTAGAAGAAGGGCTAAGGTGTCCGCATTGTCTAGGTGAACATCTCCATCTACACTGAAGAGCGCATCACAGCTGTTCTTTAAGCATAATTCTCTGAAAAAAAATAAAATAAATTTTATTTCAAATTGCAACAAATCATTCATGTACTTCTTGGGAACTCAAGAACAATTCTATGCTGCAGAACAGATATTCCCATGCCAGCCAGCATTCTGAGTTATAAATAAATGTTGCTGCCCATTTATCTTCACACCCAGAGCAAAGAAACTACTTGGCAAGCTATTGGCCTCTTTGCTTTCGTCGGGAATCAAATTACTTCATAACTTAAAGAAGGAAACATTTCCCATCATTCACTAAACAGCCATGTTGCCAGAAATGTGCTGACATCACAATTCAAATGACCCTCCAAACTATGACATCCCCACTACTCTTGAGTGCAGTCACCATGCTTTTCCCTTCCAAAGCTGAAGTCCAGCTAACTGGTTTCCATGAATCCCTTAATAAATACTATCTTGCTTACATCCTAACAACACATCAAGCTCTAAAAACCACTTATCTCCACTCAATCTGATCTAACACACTCGCAAAACCTGCTGCATACTGAAGCCCATAGCACTCGAAACCTTTACCACCACCTTACAACCTTTCCAGGATGACCCCTACCCATCCTATTCAACCCAGCATTATACACTCTCTTAGTCATCCTGTTCTCTTCCGTCTTTTCTAAATGCCCAATCCACTTCAACAACCCCTCCTCAGTCCATTAAGTTAAGCAAACCTCTCGTAACCCCACACCATCTCCTAATTTATACTCCCTGAATTCTCTACATAATATTCATAACACACTTAGTTCTTGAAAACTAAATCTCCATTGCCTCTAGCCACCTTGCTGCAATGTTTAAAGACCATGCATCACCCATATGAATGTGTTGGTAGCAATATGGTACCTTTTCCCTTTTGTCTTCGTAGATGAACTTTTATCTTTCCACAGAAATCTCAACTTAGCTCTTTTCCCCGTCATCTAGCGTATAGCTTGCCTCATCTTTCATAGAACCATTTGGTAACATGTCCACTCCCAAATATCTGAATACATTCTCTTCCTCCATGCTCCCTCCCTACAATCTGATATCCAATCTTTCAGTGACTAACCTTCTTGTTACTCCTATTTTTTTCCTTTGTGTGTTCATTTTGTATTTCCTCCTGATGATACTGAATACATACAATACTTTAATTTTAAGATTAATCCAGTATCAATGTCTATCAGCATCAATGCTGATAGGAATTTATACTGTAATACTGTACTCACAATGCTAAGTTACGGGCATGCCACTCCTTCATGTTATCATCAGCAGAGATCACCTTTGTAGAGCGGTAGCCAGCAGAGTTTTGCTCTGCTACCCATGTATTCACAAGATCTTCATGCATCTCAGCCTAATTCAAAGAACAGAAAATTAATAATTATTTCCAAGACAATTCAAGAAAGAATGATTTCTGTTCAAGTTTAAGGGATACTGCAAGAACAATCAATCACAAGGAAATGGTAAATTACATACATGTATACATAAAGTCATCTGGAACATACAATTTGGCCTGTATCACAAAATCATAGTAGGTCTCAGCTACTTTCTTCACCCATTCCATGTCAATTCACCACACAACTATCCAGATTTCTACTGATTATGACTAAATATAAAAGTGCAAAAAAAAAAAAAAAGTAGCGAGAAGACTTGATGATCTAACCACGTATTAGGAGAAACTTTTGAGCCAACTTTGGTTAAGAGGAAAAAGAGGAGATATGATAACTTTCAAGATAATAAAAAGATATGAACAGGATGATAATAAACTATGTACGATAGCGGTAACTAGTGACATGGTCCTCAGACAAAGAGAGAAACTAAAACCTAACAAATCCCCAGGTCCTGATGAACTGTTTGCAAGGGTGTTAAAGGAATGTAAAGAGGAACTTACCATACCTTTGGCTAATCTTTTTAACATATCACTAAAACTGGCATAGTGCCTGAAAAGTGGAAAATGGCAAATGTAATACCTATTTACAAGGCAGGTGGCAGGTCCTTGGCTTCGAACTATAGACCAATAAGCCTTACCTCCATAGTGGGAAAATTTATGGAATCAATAATTGCCGAAGCAATTCGTAGCCATCTTGACAGGCACAGATTGATTAATGATTCTCAACACGGTTTTACAAAGGGGCGTTCCTGTCTTACGAATTTACTAACTTTTTTCACTAAGGTGTTTGAGGAGGTAGATCATGGTAATGAATATGATATTGTGTATATGGACTTCAGTAAGGCTTACGATCGAGTTCCACACCAGAGGCTATTGAGGAAACTTAGGGCACACGGAATAGGAGGAGAAATTTTTTCCTGGGTAGAGGCATGGCTGACAAATAGACAGCAGAGAGTTTGCATAAATGGGGAGAAATCAGAATGGGGGCACGTCACAAACGGTGTTCCTCATGGGTCAGTGTTGGGCCCGTTGTTCACAATTTACATAAACGACATAGATAAGGGAATAAATAGCGACATAAGCAAATTTGCTGATGACACCAAAATAGGCTGTCCAATTCATTCTAATGAGGACATTAGAGCACTCCAGGATGATTTGAATAGACTGACGCAATGGTCGGAGAAGTGGCAGATGCAGTTTAATATTGACAAATGCAAAGTTCTAAATGTTGGACAGTTAAATAACCATGCCACATATAAACTAAATAATGTAGATCTTAATACTACCGATTGCGAAAAGGATTTAGGAGTTCTGGTTAGCAGTAATCTAAAACCAAGACAACAGTGCATTAGTGTTCGCAATAAAGCTAACAGAATTCTTGGCTTCATATCTAGAAGTATAAATAATAGAAGTCCTCAGGTTGTTCTTCAACTCTATATACCCTTGGTTAGGCCTCATTTAGACTATGCTGCTCAGTTCTGGTCACCGTATTACAGAATGGATATAAATGCTCTGGAAAACGTACAAAGGAGGATGACAAAGATGATCCCATGTATCAGAAATCTTCCCTATGAGGATAGATTGAGGATCCTGAATCTGCACTCTCTCGAAAGGCGTAGAATTAGGGGAGATATGATCGAGGTGTATAAATGGAAAACAGGAATAAATAAAGGGGATGTAAATAGGGTGCTGAAAATTTCCAGCCAAGACAGGACTCGCAGCAATGGTTTCAAGTTGGAAAAATTCAGATTCAGGAAGGATATAGGAAAGCACTGGTTTGGTAATAGAGTTGTGGATGAGTGGAACAAGCTCCCGAGTACAGTTATTGAGGCTAAAACGTTGTGTAGTTTTAAAAATAGGTTAGATAAATACACTTCTTCTATTTTCTTAGTTCTTGTTCTTGTTCATTTCCTCATATTTCCATGGGGAAGTGGAAAAGAATTCTTCCTCCTTAAGCCATGCATGTCATAAGAAGCAACTAAAATGCCAGGAGCACAGGGCTGGTAATCCCTTCTGTACACATTACTAAATTTAAGAGAAACTTTCATTTTTCTCTTAAGGCCACCCTGCCTCGGTGGGATGCGACCGGTTGGTTGAAAAAACAAAAAACTAGTACACAAGCCTCTTACTCAGTGATTGCTTGAAAACTGAACATGACAGACATGTGCGGTACAGTGCATGCAAATCATAAGCATATGGCAAGGCTCAACACAAGCACCCTTAGTGGTGTGGTGCTGGTGTTTACTGCCAGATGTCACACTGTTGACATCAATTCACCTAAACAAAATGACAGACAGTGGCAAGCAGAATAAAGAGATCAATGAACTCATTGCAAAACCTGTGGCTGTGATTGACTACATCCTCAGTATGCATTTAGTGGACAAATGTGACATGCAAATTGGGTATGCCTGCACTCTGCAAGAGGCGGTGGGGATGTTGTAGTCAAAAGGTAATCCAAATCATGATATCCGCACACTTCTGGCAAGAAAGAGTGGCCATATGATGGTTAATGATTTTTTGTGCGAGTCATCATGCGTTGGCAAGATATAGCATCGAGGATAAAAATGCAAACAAAAATTAAGAAAAAAAAAAAGACGAGTTATCAACAAAGCCATATTTTTATATGTTAATTTGTTGACAAGACACAACTGAACCCTTGGGCATCAGACGTGTCCTGGTAATGTCCAGTGACCTGAAGGAGAATCTACCCAGCTACCATGCTTTCTTCCTGGAAGTACTCACTTAACAGCAACCAAGCTGCTAAAGCGAACGGAATGTGGGTAAAAAAAAAAAAATTATGTTTGAGGACACAAGACTATGGGGGTAATGGTGGTAGAGTAGGTGAGGAGTTTGTTTTGTATCCAAGTGTAACTACTCTCCCTACCTACAATTCCTAAAAACCTCTCTGCATTAACTTTAAAATAGCTTCTCTCTCTCTCTCTCTTCTCTCTCTCTCTCTCTCTCTCTCTCTCTCTCTCTTGCTCACACCTCTCGTATTTCCATGTACTCTTATGTCCTCATGAGTAGCTTTTAATGAAGTTTACTCACTGAAGGTACAGTACATACAGTATATGAGGGAAGGATGAGTCAACAGTTATGTTTATTGGGAGGCTATGAGTAAACAAACCTGCCAGTTTAGGTATTTTCCCAATGTATCTTGTCCAGTGAAAAGCTAATTACGTGTGTTGGCCAAAGGAACACGAAACAAGTGCTCTAAAAGAGTGCTATCATTAGTACCCATTTTTGGCCAACACAAGGTATGAAAAGAAAAATTATTACTTCTGACTCTTAAGGTCAAGCAACTACAGTGCTGCATGCACCGCTATGTCTCAATATTATGAGAGTGCACAAAAACTCACCAGATTATATACAAGTAAATCAAGCTTGTCCTTTGGGTAATTAAGGCTGGCAACTTTGGCCAACATTTCTTCCAGAAATGGCATCGGTTTCGCTACAAACACTGCAATCAGTACCCGAGGATATTCTTCTCTCTGTGTAAGAAAAAAGAATTGTATTATATAAAAATCACTTAAGGATTTTTGCTTGCATATAAATCTATAACTACTTAATAATTTATGATGAACTTACAAGCTAATTTAATTTTCGAAGTCCCATAGAAGAGCTACTGTTGAAAAAACAGCAGTGGTTACATCTTTTGCTACATTTATTATGCAGCTCATTACATGATTGGCCTGACATTTTTTAAATCAATTAGAAAAATCTACCATCTTACGTGTAACAAATTTGATACCGACTTTTTTTTATTAATATGGCATCCAGGTTGCTGTCAAACACTTTCTTTTTAATTCACATGCCTTATTATTAATACAAATTTTATTTAACAGAGCCATCTCCCACTGAAGCAAGGTGACCTGATAAAGAAGAAACGTGAAGTTTTTCTTTTTATATTTAGTAATTCATATAGAAGAGATTTATTAATACAATTATCATTAATATAAATATTACAGGTAGTAGGTTGGTAGACAGCAACCACCCAGGGAAGTACTACCGTCCTGCCAGATGACTGTGAAACAGAAACCTGTAACTGTTTTACATGATGGTAGGATTGCTGGTTTCTTTTTCTGTCTCATAAACACGCTAGATAACAGGGATATCTTGCTACTCCTACTTACACTTTGGTCACACTTCACAGACACACACATGTATATATATATTCATACATCTAGGTTTTTCTTCTTTTTCTAAATAGCTCTTGTTCTTTATTTCTTCTATTGTCCATGGGGAAGTGGAAAAGAATCTTTCCTCCGTAAGCCATGCATGTCGTATGAGGCGACTAAAATGCCGGGAGCGATGGTCTAGTAACCCCTTCTCCTGTATACATTACTAAAAAAGAGAAGAAGAAAAACTTTATAAAACTGGGATGCTTGAATGTGCGTGGATGTAGTGTGGATGACAAGAAACAGATGATTGCTGATGTTATGAATGAAAAGAAGTTGGATGTCCTGGCCCTAAGCGAAACAAAGCTGAAGGGGGTAGGGGAGTTTCGGTGGGGGGAAATAAATGGGATTAAATCTGGAGTATCTGAGAGAGTTAGAGCAAAGGAAGGGATAGCAGTAATGTTGAAGGATCAGTTATGGAAGGAGAAGAGAAAATATGAATGTGTAAATTCAAGAATTATGTGGATTAAAGTAAAGGTTGGATGCGAAAAGTGGGTCATAATAAGCGTGTATGCACCTGGAGAAGAGAGGAATGTAGAGGAGAGAGAGAGATTTTGGGAGATGTTAAGTGAATGTATAGGAGCCTTTGAACCAAGTGAGAGTAACTGTGGTAGGGGACCTGAATGCTAAAGTAGGAGAAACTTTTAGAGAGGGTGAGGTAGGTAAGTTTGGGGTGCCAGGTGTAAATGATAATGGGACCCCTTTGATTGAACTTTGTATAGAAAGGGGTTTAGTTATAGGTAATACATATTTTAAGAAAAAGAGGATAAATAAGTATACAAGATATGATGTAGGGCAAAATGACAGTAGTTTGTTGGATTATGTATTGGTAGATAAAAGACTGTTGAGTAGACTTCACGATGTACATGTTTATAGAGGGGCCACAGATATATCAGATCACTTTCTAGTTGTAGCTACACTGAGAGTAAAAGGTAGATAGGATACAAGGAGAATAGAAGCATCAGGGAAGAGAGAGGTGAAGGTTTATAAACTAAAAGAGGAGGCAGTTAGGGTAAGATATAAACAGCTATTGGAGGATAGATGGGCTGAGAGCATAGGCAATGGGGTCGAAGAGGTATGGGGTAGGTTTAAAAATGTAGTGTTGGAGTGTTCAGCAGAAGTTTATGGTTACAGCAAGGTGCGTGCAGGAGGGAAGAGGAGCGATTGGTGGAATGATGATGTAAAGAGAGTAGTAAGGGAGAAAAAGTTAGTATATAAGAAGTTTTTACAAAGTAGAAGTGATGCAAGGAGGGAAGAGTATATGGAGAAAAAGAGAGAGGTTAAGAGAGTGGTGAAGCAATGTAAAAAGAGAGCAAATGAGAGAGTGGGTGAGATGTTATCAACAAATTTTGTTGAAAATAAGAAAAAGTTTTTGGAGTGAGATTAGCAAGTTAAGAAAGCCTAGAGAAAAAATGGATTTGTCAGTTAAAAATAGGAGAGGAGAGTTATTAAATGGAGAGTTAGAGGTATTGGGAAGATGAAGAGAATATTTCGAGGAATTGCTAAATGTTGATGAAGATAGGGAAGCTGTGATTTCATGTATAGGGCAAGGAGGAGTAACATCTTGTAGGAGTGAGGAAGAGCCAGTTGTGAGTGTGGGGGAAGTTCGTGAGGCAGTAGGTAAAATGAAAGGGGGTAAGGCAGCCGGGATTGATGGGATAAAGATAGAAATGTTAAAAGCAGGTGGGGATATAGTTTTGGAGTGGTTGGTGCAATTATTTAATAAATGTATGGAAGAAGGTAAGGTACCTAGGGATTGGCAGAGAGCATGCATAGTTCCTTTGTATAAAGGCAAAGGGGACAAAAGAGAGTGCAAAAATTATAGAGGGATAAGTTTGTTGAGTATACCTGGTAAAGTGTATGGTAGAGTTATTATTGAAAGAATTAAGAGTAAGACGGAGAATAGGATAGCAGATGAACAAGGAGGCTTTAGGAAAGGTAGGGGGTGTGTGGACCAGGTGTTTACAGTGAAACACATAAGTGAACAGTATTTAGATAAGGCTAAAGAGGTCTTTGTGGCATTTATGGATTTGGAAAAGGCATATGACAGGGTGGATAGGGGGGCAATGTGGCAGATGTTGCAGGTGTATGGTGTAGGAGGTAGGTTACTGAAAGCAGTGAAGAGTTTTTACGAGGATAGTGAGGCTCAAGTTAGAGTATGTAGGAAAGGGGGAAATTATTTCCCAGTAAAAGTAGGCCTTAGACAAGGATGTGTGATGTCACTGTGGTTGTTTAATATATTTATAGATGGGGTTGTAAGAGAAGTAAATGCAAGGGTCTTGGCAAGAGGCGTGGATTTAAAAGATAAAGAATCACACAAAGTGGAGTTCTCACAGTTGCCTTTGCTGATGACAAGTGCTTTTGGGGAGATTCTGCGAGAATTTTGCAGAGATTGGTGGATAAATTTGGTAGGGATGCAAAAAAGAAAATTAAAAGTGAATACAGGAAAGAGTAATTTTATGAGGATAACAAAAAGATTTGGTGATGAAAGATTGGATATCAGATTGGAGGGGGAGAGAGTATGGAGGGGGTGAATGTGTTCTGATATTTGGAGTGGGCTGTCCCGCGGATGGGTCTATGAAAGATGAGGTGAATCATAGAATTGATGAGGGGAAAAGGGTGAGTGGTGCACTTAGGAGTCTGTGGAGACAAAGAACTTTGTCCTGGAGGCAAAAAGGGGATGTATGAGAGTATAGTTTTAAAACCAACGCTCTTATATGGGTGTGAAGCATGGGTGATGAATGTTGCAGCGAGAGAAGGCTAGAGGCAGTGGAGATGTCATGTCTGAGGGCAATGTGTGGTGTGAATATAATGCAGAGAATTCGTAGTTTGGAAGTTAGGAGGAGGTGCGGGATTACCAAAACTGTTGTCCAGAGGGCTGAGGAAGGGTTGTTGAGGTGGTTCGGACATGTAGAGAGAATGGAGCAAAACAGAATGACTTCAAGAGTGTATCAGTCTGTAGTGGAAGGAAGGCGGGGTAGGGGTCGGCCTAGGAAAGGTTGAGGGAGGGGTAAAGGAGGTTTTGTGTGCGAGGGGCTTGGACTTCCAGCAGGCATGCGTGAGCGTGTTTGATAGGAGTGAATGGACACAAATGGTTTTTAATACTTGACGTGCTGTTGGAGTGTGAGCAAAGTAACATTTATGAAGGGGTTCAGGGAAACCGGCAGGCCGGACTTGAGTCCTGGAGATGGGAAGTACAGTGCCTGTACTCTGAAGGAGGGGTGTTAATGTTGCAGTTTAAAAACTGTAGTGTAAAGCACCCTTCTGGCAAGATAGTGATGGAGTGAATGATGGTTAAAGTTTTTCTTTTTCGGGCCACCCTGCCTTGGTGGGAATCGGCCAGTGTGATAAAAAAAAAAAAAAATTATGTATCAAAATACTGTTTAAAAAAAATGGATGCATCAAAGGAATTACGTCTATAGTAGTGAAATTATTTACAGCATGTGTGTGAACCCAAGGTAAGTTATAATGAACAGCTGTCAGTGAATAAACAGAAGAATGGAGTGTGACTAACCATGGTCCATGCATATAAGAATATAAGAGGCCCAACACTGTAATAACTAGCCACAGAGTTTACCATGATACGTATGTGGACCAAGGTTAGAGTCCCCCTCCATTTGTGTGTGCATGTGCAAACCAACATTTTCACTGATAAGAAAATACAGGTGAAGGGTTAAGATTTTCCTGCACTTCTGGTTAACACTTTCAGTGTCAGTCCCATTCTATCACAGCACTGAAGCCAGTGTCAGTCCTGTAATATGACGCCATGAGCTCGGTTCGCTCAGATAAGCTGAGAGTGGTAAATTTGGGGCTAAATGTGAGAGAATGGGTCTGTGGTAAGTGTGCATCATGTAAAAAAAAAAAATCCTGTTACAAGCAGTGCATGAGGGAAAAACTGTGTTTTTGGTTTAGAACAGAGAATTTGAAGTATATTTTCGTATGGTTTTCATGGTTGTATTGTTGTTTTCTTGGTCTCATTTGATAGAATGGAAGATATGTTACAGAAATAGAGATGATTCTGATTGGTTTCGGGACTGCAAGTAGTTTGAAATTGACCTCAAAATAACGGAAATGTTCGATTTTTGCCGACGTTCAAGAGAAAACAAATCGCATCATACATCCAATACATATCGACTAGTGGGTCTAATATGTGTTCACGAATGTGTTGGTATTATTTATACAATTATTACAATAATGCAGTAGTCTGCAAAACAGTAAGTCTATTTTTTGTGTGAATGAAAATTATAAATGGAAAGCAAGCATAACATAAGAGGACCTAGAGAAGTGACTAACGAACAGAGAAAACATTATTTTAGTGCCCGGACTGTTTATTCTAGGCCCTGTTTTGAAATTAGCCTTTCTTCAATTGTGTGAAATTTGCCAAATTATCAATTTCTGATCACTTTATTAAGTAGTTGAAAAAGGTAAATATGCAGTTTCTTGTACTCATTTGATAGAATAAAAGAAGTACTAGCGAATTAGCTATGAGTTTGGCTGAATGGAACAATGGAATTGGCCCAAAATAGGGCTCAAAGTGTGCAAAATTACTATGTAAACATAGCCAAGACCCCTCACTTTGCAAGAGCATAATTCCATGAGTTTTCCATCAAATTTCATACCTTTGGTTTCATTACCTTCAGAAAAAGTTTCTCTATCATTTCATAAGAAAAATAATTTTTCTCTGACCCTGAGAGGAAGTGCATGAGCAGAGATCTCAACAGTGAAAGGGTCAAGAAGAATTATTGAAACATTCTATTTTATTAATAAATGCTTTGTTTTAACATGCAGAAATTAAAAAAAATAGTAATTTTTTCAGAGAAAACCTTGCAACAGCTTGTTTCTGAAATTTTGGAATAGTTTTTTATGTGATCAAAAACTGCTAAATTTTATGAGCAGTACGAGACATACATACAGGCAACTTTTTAAGGTCCCGAGAATTTTCACGACATGAGAGACACCCATCATCATGAGTCCAAGATTTAGCAAGGTAGTTGCCGAGGGAGTTTAACTGGATCTTAGACAGTCCATTCCCATGAATGACCACTGGAGTAGACTGGTAGACTGTGTTAATAATCTTAACATCATGATCTTCAAACTTCAGTGACACATCACCTGGAAAACACAATGATTACAAAATACTGTACTACATACAGTGTAACATTTACTGTACCTCAATACTGAACTAAACATACATTTTAATATTGTATGATGCAGTAGAAGGTGGTAGTGGTGGTAGTAGTAGTAGGTGGCAATGACAGTAGTAGTAGTAGGTGGTAGTGGTGGTGATAGTAGTAGGTGGTAGTAGTAGTAGTAGGTTGTAGTGGTGGTGGTAGTAGTAGTAGGTGGTAGTGGTGGTAGTAGTAGTAGGTGGTAGTGGTGGTAGTAGTAGTAGGTGGTAGTGGTGGTAGTAGTAGTAGGTGGTAGTGGTGGTAGTAGTAGTAGGTGGTAGCGGTGGTAGTAGTAGTAGGTGGTAGTGGTGGTAGTAGTAGTAGGTGGTAGTGGTGGTAGTAGTAGTAGGTGGTAGTGGTGGTAGTAGTAGTAGGTGGTAGTGGTGGTAGTTGGTAGCAGTGGTGGTAGTAGTAGTTGGTAGTGGTGGTAGTAGTTGTTGGTAGTGGTGGTAGTAGTAGTTGGTAGTGGTGGTAGTAGTAGTTGGTAGTGGTGGTAGTAGTAGTTGGTAGTGGTGGTAGTAGTAGTAGGTGGTGGTAATGGTAGTACAATGGACCCCCGGGTTACGACATTAATCCGTTCCAGAAAGCGTGTCTTATACTGAATCTGTCGTAATCCTAATTAATTTTCCCCATAAGAAATAATGGAAATTCAATTAATCTGTTCCAGACACCCAAAAGTATTAAACAAAATAATTTTTTTACATGAAATATACATTTCCCTACACAGAAAACAATGAGACATGCAGAATAAATAAACAATAAAATAACACTTACCTTTATTGAAGCCTTATTGATGAGTGATGAGACGGAAGGAGGGGAGAGGATAGAGGTGTACCAGTGTTTGGAAGGGGAATCCCGTTCCATATAGACTTCAGGTACCAAGTCCTTATCTGGGATTACTTTCCTTCTTTGTTTTTTAAAGCCACTGGACCCCTGTCGCTCAAAATATCTGTCCAGAGAGCTCTGTTTCGGGCGTCTCTAAGATTTCCCTAGATAAGATAAGATTTTGTTCGGATTTTTAACCCTGGAGGGTTAGCCACCCAGGATAACCCAAGAAAGTCAGTGCGTCATCAAGGACTGTAACTTATTTCCATTGGGGTCCTTAATCTTGTCCCCCAGGATGCGACCCACACCAGTCGACTAACACCCAGGTACCTATTTGCTGCTAGGTGAACAGGACAACAGGTGTAAGGAAACGTGTCGAAATGCTTCCACCCGCCGGGAATCGAACCCGGGCCCTCAGTGTGTGAAGCGGGAGCTTTAGCCACCAGGCCACCGGGCCCTAAAATGAGACACAACATTGTCGTAGCAGATGTTGCCATCATGGCCTGCAACAGCTGTGTAAGGGTGATGTTCATCCATAAATATATGCACATAAGAAAGCAGGAATGCTGCAGCAGGCCTGTTGGCCCATACTAGGCAGGTTCTTCACAAACCATCCCGAGTTCTTTGCTGTTAACTGAGCCAATATTTTGATGCAAAAAAGTTACTTAATCCGATTTTTACGTAATCTGATGATGCCGTAATCCGGGAGTACACTGTAGTAGTAGTATTAAGGAGGAGGAGTAGGAGGAGGAGGAAGGAGGAGGAGGAAGGAGGAAGGAAAGAGAGAGGTAGAGAGAGAGGTAGAGAGAGAGGTAGAGAGAGAGGTAGAGAGAGAGGTAGAGAGAGAGGTAGAGAGAGAGGTAGAGAGAGAGGTAGAGAGAGAGATAGAGAGGTAGAGAAGAGAGAGAGAGAGAGAGAGAGAGAGAAAGAGAGAGAAAAAGAGAAAGAGAGAGAAAGAGAGAGAGAAGAGAGAGAGAAAGAGAGAGAGAAAGAGAGAGAGAAAGAGAGAGAGAAAGAGAGAGAGAAAGAGAGAGAGAAAGAGAGAGAGAAAGAGAGAGAGAAAGAGAGAGAGAAAGAGAGAGAGAAAGAGAGAGAGAAAGAGGTAATTGGCCAGCCCTTTGCTCTGAGCTCGCCACCACCGACTGGAATGCTCTTCTCCAGGGGGATGTTGACAACCAAGTGAAAGCCTTCACTGGACACATCCTTAATCTGCAACAAGAACACATTCCTCACCGGCAATATGTGACAAAGCCTACAGATCAGCCTTGGTTTGGCTTTCGTTGTAGAGAGGCTGCTACTGCTAAGTACAAAGCATGGCGAAGGTATAAGAGACATCCTACCACCTATAACAGGAACTTGCACATGCAAGCCTGTAGGCATATGGGTGATGTTCAAAAGTGGGCCATTACTAAATGGGAGGTGGACACTAAAAGAAAGTTAGCATCAGGTAGGGTAGGCTCCAAAACCTGGTGGTCCCTGGTCAAGGACAGACAAGGTTATCTGCCTGATGAACTTATTCCACCTCTAAATCGACAGGATGGGACCACCTCTACTAGTAGTCAAGAGAAGGCGGACCTCTTTGCTGAACACTTTGCTACCAAAATGCAAGTTCCTGATCCAGCAAGGGACCCTCCTTGGCTAGCTGCAAGAACTGTGTCAAAACTGTCAGTGGTGACAATAAGGCAGGAGAGGTGCATTTCCTTCTTAAATCACTTGACCAAGAAAAGGCTGTGGGCCCAGACAAGTTGAGCCCAAGATTGTTGAGAAGATGTGCAGACCAGCTAGCAGCACCTCTAACTCGCATCTTTCAGCACTGCCTAGTACAGTGTAAATGGCCCTCTCCATGGAAAGAGGCAAATGTAGTCCCTGTTCACAAAAAGAAGAGCAGAGCAGAAATCAGCAACTACAGACCAGTGTCACTCCTGTCAATCACTGGTAAGATCCTTGAGACAATAATCTCAAGACAAATGACAGATTTTTTTGACTACCACTCACTACTTTGTGATCGTCAATAGGGCTTCAGGAAAGGTTACTCTGCTGCTGATCTGTTGTTAAACCTCTCCACTAAGTGGCACCAGTCACTGGATGAATCCAAAGTCAGCTGTGTGGTAGCACTGGACATTGCTGGCGCTTTCGACCGGGTGTGGCACCAGGGCCTCTTAGCAAAACTTCAAGCACTGGGAATTGCAGGCTCTACGCTATGTCTCCTCAGTGATTACCTTCATGGTAGATCTCTAAGTGTAGTCCTCAATGGAACGGAATCAGCAAGGCATCCTATTGGGGCAAGCGTTCCACAAGGAAGTGTGCTGGGTCCACTGTTATGGAATGTCTACTTCAACGACCTTCTTCATCTCATCCCAAATCACATGCATATGCAGACGACTGTACACTGACATTCACTTATCCAAGAGAAGAAATGCCAGCTGCTCTAAGCTACATCAATCACCAGCTGAGAGCTATATCAGCTTGGGGAAATAGATGGCAAGTAACATTTGCACCTGAAAAAAACGCAAATGATGTTCGTCTCTAGGCACCATGATGGTAATGCTGGCGCAGTAGTAAGGATGAATGGGACGATGTTGGCACCTGGAGAAGAAGTTGATATCCTTGGGGTGAAATTTGACTCCAAACTAACCATGAAGAACCATGTTGTAAATCTTGCAAACAAGGCAGCCAGGAAGCTTACAGCACTTCGCCGTATCTCGCATCTGCTTGACAGTAGGGGTTGCAAGATCCTGTACGAGGCACAAGTACCTCACACCTTGAGTATGCTCCACTTTCTTTTGGTTTGCCTGCCCCCCCTCTCATCTGCGACTGCTTGACAGAGTAGAGAACAGAGCAAGACGTCTCATCTCTCGCCTGGACCCATCCTGGATAGATCTGTCATTTCAGCAGAGCCTTCAACATAGGAGGGATGTGGGTGGCCTTACTGTTATGTACAAGGCCAATATTGTCAAAATACCACACTTGGATCCACTTCGAGGACAGCGTGAAACAAGCTTTTATGCCACAAGACGGCAGAAAGCAGCAACTTCACTCTGGCTGTACCCTTCTCCAGAACATCACTCCATCTGAGATCATACATACCCAGGATGACTCGAGTATGGAACACATTCGTACAGCATAATGATGTCAACGAGATAACGTCAGTTGATCAAATGAAAATGCTGGCCCACAGATGGCTCCAACTTCATCCTGTTCCCTACTTGTATGTCTCATAACAAAAATGCTTTCAAATGAGCTGATGTAGGTAACAGCTCTTAGCTTGCCAATAAAGTTAGGAATCCTTAACCTGTAAATAGCTGTCAATAAAGCTAGGGATCCTTAACCTTGTCAAACCCTGTGTAAAAAAAAAAAAAAAAAAAAAAAAAAAAAAAAAAAAAAAAAGAGAGAAAGAGAGAGAGAAAGAGAGAGAGAAAGAGAGAGAGAAAAGAGAGAGAGAAGAGAGAGAGAGAAAGAAAAGAAAGAGAAAGAGAAGAAGAAAGAGAAAGAAAGGAGAGAAAGAGAGAGAAGAGAAAGAAAGAGAGAAAGAGAAAAAAGAGAAAGAGAGAAAAAGAGAAAGAGAGAAAGAAAGAGAAAGAAAGAGAGAAAGAGAGAAAGAGAGAAAGAGAGAAAGAGAGAAAGAGAGAAAGAGAGAAAGAGAGAAAGAGAGAGAAAGAGAGAGAGAAAGAAAGAGAGAAAGAGAGAGAAAGAGAGAGAGAAAAGAGAGAAAAGAGAGAAGAAAGAGAGAGAAAGAGAGAGAAAGAGAGAGAAAGAGAGAGAAAGAGAGAGAAAGAGAGAGAAAGAGAGAGAAAGAGAGAGAAAGAGAGAGAAAGAGAGAGAAAGAGAGAGAAAGAGAGAGAAAGAGAGAGAGAGAGAAAAAGAGAAAGAGAAAGAGAGAGAAAGAGAGAGAAAGAGAGAGAAAGAGAGGGAGGAAAGCAAAGAGGGAGGAAAGCAAAGAGGGAGGAAAGCAAAGAGGGAGGAAAGCAAAGAGGGAGGAAAGCAAAGAGGGAGGAAAGCAAAGAGGGAGGAAAGCAAAGAGGGAGGAAAGCAAAGAGGGAGGAAAGCAAAGAGGGAGGAAAGCAAAGAGGGAGGAAAGCAAAGAGGGAGGAAAGCAAAGAGGGAGGAAAGCAAAGAGGGAGGAAAGCAACGAGGGAGGAAAGCAACGAGGGAGGAAAGCAACGAGGGAGGAAAGCAACGAGGGAGGAAAGCAACGAGGGAGGAAAGCAACGAGGAGGAAAGCAACGAGGGAGGAAAGCAAAGAGGGAGGAAAGCAAAGAGGGAGGGAAGGAGGCAGAGGGAGGGAAGGAGGCAGAGGGAGGGAAGGAGGCAGAGGGAGGGAAGGAGGCAGAGGGAGGGAAGGAGGCAGAGGGAGGGAAGGAGGTAGAGGGAGGGAAGGAGGTAGAGGGAGGGAAGGAGGTAGAGGGAGGGAAGGAGGTAGAGGGAGGGAAGGAGGTAGAGGGAGGGAAGGAGGTAGAGGGAGGGAAGGAGGTAGAGGGAGGGAAGGTGGGAGATAGGGAGAGAGGGTAGGAGGGAGGGAGGGCAAGAGAGGTCAGCAGACAGCAACTACACAAGGATACACTACCGTCTTGCCAAGCAAGTGTGAAACCAGCAATCATTTTTCAGTGAAATAAACTATTTTTTCCCTCTTCAAACAAGTTTAACCCTTTCACTGTCAGTGCCATAGTACTACGACCTGTAAGCCAGTGTTGGTGCCATAGTAATATGCCAAAATTTTAGCAGCTTCAAATCTAGTGGGAGAAAGCTGGTAGACCTACATGTGAAAGAATCGGTCTATGTGGTCAGTGTGTACAGTATAAAAAAAAAATCTTGCAGCGTGCAGTGCATAATGAGAAAAAAACAACTCCGACCATGTTTTTGGTTTAAAACGCAGAATTAGGGGTGTATTTTCGTATGGCATTTATGGTTGCATTCTTGTTTTCTTGGTCTCAATTGACAGAATGGAAGATATATTACAAAAATAGAGATGATTTTGATTAGTTTCACGATGAAAAGTACCTTGAAATTAAGCTCAAATTAGCGGAAATGTTCCATTTTTGCCAATGTTCAAGAGTAAACAAATGACGTCACTGTCCAATGTGTGTCCAACTGGCCAGTCTAATACGCAGTTATGAATGGGATAACATTATTTATACAATTATTACAATAATGCAGTAGTCTACATAACAGTAAATCTTCTATTTTTTGTGTGAATAAAAATTTGAAATGGAAAGCAAGAGTAATATAAGAGGAGCCTGGAGATGTGATTAATGAACCAAGAAAATGATATTTTAGTGCCAGGAATGTCTGCAGTGTTTATTCTGGACCCTATTTTGAAACTGGCATCTTTTGAAATATGTGTGAAATTGGCCATATTGCCAATTTCTGATCACTTTATTGGGTAATTGAAATTGGTAAATGGGCAGTTTCTTGTACTCAATCGACAGAACAAATGGAGTTCTACCAAAATAGGTACGACTTTGGTCGATTGGACCAATGGAACTGGCCAAAAATAGGGCTCAAAGTGGGCGAAATCACCAATGCGTATATATCACCAAGAAGGCTAGCCTCACAATAGTGTAATTCCATAAGTTTTCCATCAAATTTCGTACTTTTGGTGTCGTTACCACCAGAAAAAGATTCTCAATCATTTCATAAGAATTTTTTTTTTTTCAAATTCTAAGACACTGTGAGCAAGTTTGTGAGCAGTGGTCTCGAAAGTGAAAGTGTTAATATTGCAGTTTTTGACCCATCAACATACTGAGGTAGAATAAATATACCAAGCTTGATATATTATTACTTACCTAACTGTCCATTAAGATTTTGAAAAATATTTGCCTGGGTGTCCAGTTTAATCTTGTATTTTTCTCTTAAATTTTTGTCTAGGAATATCTGTGTGTAGTAAAGTTGGTCATCATCCAAGTTACTTATATCCTGTGATGATACAATCTTGTGCACCTCGGAAGCATAGCCAATAAAACCTGAAAAAAAAATGTAATTATTGGTTTTGATGTCAATGTGTGATTAATTCTCAAATAATGTCTTGACATTTTGCTTTATAACTGACTAGTTAACAGACCAAGTTGGACTGAAACATTATCATTAGTTTCCTTCTTCTATGTGTAGGTTGTTTGTGTATATAAACTTTACATTGGTAAATTATCTCAAGTCATATGCATTAATTGATAAAGTATTATAATTTATTTAAATGCTCATGTAATTCATACCCCCAGAATTCAGATATTTGTAGCCAAAAGAAACTCGAGGATACTGTGTAGCGAGATTCTGGTTGGGCCAACAGAAGTCTTCTGCACCAAATACAACTCGAGCATCAAGGTTGTCAAACTTTTCCAGAATAACACTCTTGCCAGCTGTGAAGATTACATCATAGCTGAAATATAAAAATGAAAGTAAATAGTGGAATTACACATTATTTAAATTACAAGAAAAAAGGTAAAATATTAAGTAGAAATATTGAAATTATGTAATAAAAAATGAATTTCATGAAGTTCCCAACCTACAAATGCACCAAGTAACAAATATCAACACTTACAAACAGAGCACTTAGCAACCAATTACATTTTCACAACAACATACAGTAGGGCCCCAGTTTACAGTGCTTCACTTCTCAGTGATTTGCTATTACAGCAGTTTCAGATTCTTCTTTCTTTCAACACACCGGCCATATCCCACCGAGGCGGGGTGGCCCAAAAGGAAAAATGAAAGTTTCTCCTTTTACATTTAGTAATATATACAGGAGAAGAGGTTACTAGCCCCTTGCTTCCGGCATTTTAGTCGCCTCTTACAACACGCATGGCTTACGGAGGAAGAATTCTGTTCCACTTCCCCATGGAGATAAGAGGAAATAAACAAGAATAAGAACTAGAAAGAAAATAGAAGAAAATCCAGAGGGGTGTGTATATATATGCTTGTACATGTATGTGTAGTGTGGCCTAAGTATAAGTAGAAGTAGCAAGATGTACCTGAAATCTTGCATGTTCATGAGACAGAAAAAAGGACACCAGCAATCCTACCATCATGTAAAACAATTACAGGCTTTCGTTTTACACTCACTTGGCAGGATGGTAGTACCTCCCTGGGCAGTTGCTGTCTACCAACCTACTACCTAGGAGTTTCAAATTATACCCAAATATTCATTTATATGGCAGTGATTTGCTATCGTGGCTGGGAGTCCACGCATCATTTTCCTTCTCTCAGTTTGTTTACACTGTGCATGAACTCTGTATCTCTCTCATTTCCATCTAGAAACTTTCCGAAGTTTCAAGTGTTTTAAAGTTATTATGAATATTATTATACAGTAAAGAATCCTTCATCCGAAATTCCAAAATTGGAAAGTTTTTAGTGTTGATATGATGCGACATATAGGTAGTAGGTTGGTAGACAGCAACCATTCAGAGAGGTACTACTGTCCTACCAAGAGTGTAAAAAGGAAGCCTTTATTTGTTTTACATGATGGTAGGATTACTGGTGTCTTTTTTCTGTCTCATAAACATGCAAGATTTCAGGTACATCTTGCTACTTCTGCTTACACTAAGGTCACACTCCACATACATGTACGTACATGTTTATGTATAATTAACCGAGTTTTCTTTGATTTTATCTTAATATTTCTTGTTCTTAGTGCTTTTCATTTCATATCCATGGGGAAGTGGAATAAGAATCTTTCCTCCATAAGCCTTGCTTGTTAAAAAAGTTAACTAAAATGCCGGGAGCAATGGGCTAGTAACCCCTTTTTCCGTATAGCTTACTAAAAAGAAAAAGAAGAAAGTCAAAGTGGGATGTTTGAAGGTGTGTGGATGTTGTGCAAATCATAAAAAGAGATAATTGTAGATGTTATGAATGAGAAGAAGCTGGATGTCCTGGCTTTAATTGAAATAAAGCTGAATGGAGTAGGAGAGTTTCAGTTGGAAGAAATAAAAGTGATTAGGTCAGAGGTTTCAAATAGAGTTAGAGCTAAAGAAGGAGTAGCAATAATGTTGAAGGATAAGTTATGGCAGGAAAAAAGGAAATATAAATGTATAAATTCAAGGATTATGTAGTGTAAAATAAGGGTTGGATGTGAAAAGTGGGTTACAGTAAATGCTTATGCACCTGGAGAGAGAGAGAGAGATATAGAGAGAGATATAGAGAGAGAAATGGGAGGTGGACACTAAAAGAAAGCTAGCATCAGGTAGGGTAGGCTCCAAAACCTGGTGGTCCCTGGTCAAGGACAGACAAGGTTATCTGCCTGATGAACTCATTCCACCTCTAAATCGACAGGATGGGACCACCTCTACTAGTAGTCAAGAGAAAGCGGACCTCTTTGCTGAACACTTTGCTACCAAAATGCAAGTTCCTGATCCAGCAAGGGACCCTCCTCGGCTAGCTGCAAGAACTGTGTCAAAACTGTCAGTGGTGACAATAAGGCAGGAGGAGGTGCATTTCCTTCTTAAATCGCTTGACCAAGAAAAGGCTGTGGGCCCAGACAAGTTGAGCCCAAGATTGCTGAGAAGATGTACAGACCAGCTAGCAGCACCTCTAACTCGCATCTTTCAGCACTGCCTAGCACAGTGTAAATGGCCCTCTCTATGGAAAGAGGTAAATGTAGTCCCTGTTCACAAAAAGAAGAGCAGAGCAGAAATCAGCAACTACAGACCAGTGTCACTCCTGTCAATCACTGGTAAGATCCTTGAGACAATAATCTCAAGACAAATGACAGAGTTTTTTGACTATCACTCACTACTTTGTGATCGTCAATATGGCTTCAGGAAAGGTTACTCTGCTGCTGATCTGTTGTTAAACCTCTCCACTAAGTGGCACCAATCACTGGATGAATCCAAAGTCAGCTGTGTGGTAGCACTGGACATTGCTGGCACTTTCGACCGGGTGTGGCACCAGGGCCTCTTAGCAAAACTTCAAGCACTGGGAATTGCATGCTCTATGCTATGTCTCCTCAGTGATTACCTTCATGGTAGATCTCTAAGTGTAGTTCTCAATGGAACGGAATCAGCAAGACATCCTATTGGGGCAAGTGTTCCACAAGGAAGCGTGCTGGGACCATTGTTATGGAATGTCTACTTCAACGACCTTCTTCATCTCATCCCAGAATCACATGCATATGCAGACGACTGCACATTGACATTCACTTATCCAAGAGAAGAAATGCCAGCTGCTCTAAGCTACATCAATCACCAGCTGAGAGCTATATCAGCTTGGGGAAATAGATGGCAAGTAACACTTGCACCTGAGAAAATGCAAATGATGATCATCTCTAGGCACCATGATGGTAATGCTGGTGCAGTAGTAAGGATGAATGGGAGGGTGTTGGCACCTGGAGACGAAGTTGATATCCTTGGGGTGAAATTTGACTCCAAACTAACCATGAAGAACCATGTTGTAAATCTTGCAAACAAGGCAGCCAGGAAGCTTAGAGCACTTCGCCGTATCTCGCATCTACTTGGCAGTAGGGGTTGCAAGATTCTGTACGAGGCACAAGTACGCTCGCACCTTGAGTATGCTCCACTTTCTTGGTTTGCCTGCCCCCCCCCCCCCTCTCATCTGCGACTGCTTGACAGTAGAGAACAGAGCAAGACGTCTCATCTCTCGCCTGGACCCATCCTGGATAGATCTGTCATTTCAGCAGAGCCTTCAACATAGGAGGGATGTGGGTGGCCTTACTGTTATGTACAAGGCCAATATTGTCAAAGTACCACACTTGGATCCACTTCAAGGACAGCGTGAAACAAGCTTTTATGCCACAAGACGGGCAGAAAGCAGCAACTTCACTCTGGCTGTATCCTTCTCCAGAACTTCACTCCATCTGAGATCCTATATACCCAGGATGACTCGAGTATGGAACACATTCGTACAGCATAATGATGTCAACGAGATAAAGCCAGTTGATCAAATGAAAATGCTGGCCCACAGATGGCTCCAACTTCATACTGTTCCCTACTTGTATGTCTCATAACAATAAAAATGCTTTCAAATGAGCTGATATAGGCAACAGCTCTTAGCTTGCCAATAAAGTTAGGAATCCTTAACCTGTAAATAGCTTGTCAATAAAGCTAGGGATCCTTAACCTTGTCAAACCCTGTGTAAAAAAAAAAAAAAAAAAAAAAAAAAAAGATATATACAGGAGGGCCCCACTTATACGGCGGGTTAGGTTCCAGGCTACCGCCGTAAAGTGGAACACCCTTTTTTTCCACTTACAAATGCACACAAACACTAGATAACAAGTTTACACTAACATATATTATGTTAGCAATAGAACCAGGCATCAAAAAACAATAAAAAAGTACAATACACACATAGTGCACTCATTACTTACCTTAAAATATTTATAGTCTTAATCTAGGGTGAGACAAGTAGTATTTATTGTAAGAAATCAAGTGTGGTATGTATGGTAGTCAGCCAGGCTACCATACCAGGCCACCCCACCCACACATACAATTCTATGATATTTAAGCATCCCAGAGCAATAAAATGTATATACAGTTCACTCATTACTTACCTTAAAATATAGGGTGAGATGAGTAGTATTTATTGTAAAATATCAAGTGTGGTATGTATGGTAGTCAGCCAGGCTACCCCACCCACACATACTATTCTATGATATTTAAGCATCCCAGAGCGATAAAATGTATATACAGTTCACTCATTACTTACCTTAAAATATAGGGTGAGATGAGTAGTATTTATTGTAAAAAATCAAGTGTGGTATGTATGGTAGTCAGCCAGGCTACCATACCAGAAAGAATGAGTGCATGAGAGAGTACAGGCGCAGAGTTATGTAAACAAACCAGGCAAAGGTAAGTTTTGTAAACGAAGTGTACACGTCTGGTTTGTGTACAAGTTACATTGTGTACAGGTTGTCTCTACATTGATACGGTAGAATAAATAAAGAAGAACACTCCCATTCTCATGTAACATCATTTTGAGAAGAAATGATGCTCTGAGTGAAGGCAATGGAAGTAAGTCACTGACTTTTTTGGGTTATCCTAGGTTCTCTACACATATGTTATGTATTTATGTTATGTATCGTGTTTATTATATAATTTTTAAAAAAATATCACGGATGGATTAATGAAAATGTGTATATTAACGTAATATACAACATTTAATGATACACCGAGCTCAGACAGCGTAAATAAACAAACTGAACAGGTTGTGGACGATCACTCGATCAGGCGAAATAGACGGTATTAATACGTGTCCAGTTTTAGTTCATTCATGTACATTTGTAAGAGTTTGTGAAACTTTTACCTTATAATATTTTTATTATTATTATAATAATTAAATCACGAAACAAATACTCTTACACTGTGTACAAGTTAGTACAGAATTATAGCTATAAAGTGAAGGCATACGAAAGGAATATTTTTCTACAGT